AACTTAAGAGACAATTCATAAACCTAAGGGTATTCTGTTTCTAAATTGCATTCAATCTGTCAAAGTTAAACTACAATTCATAGAAGATAAACGACGAATAGAGACGCGGGGAAATTGTGGATTGTTTACTCCCGACTTTACGTTTTTAAGCATATAAAGAAAACAAAGAAACTGGGTTAATTAGGTAATAATTTGCAGAAGTCAGGGTGCAAAAACAATGATTCTGCGTGAAGAGTGGAGTAGGACACTTATGGGCTTTACGAGACGCTGCAAAAATTTGTCAAGCGGCCAAAATAAAACAAAAACTGATGAGAGGATAAATTATATATTGACCTCCTCGACTCGGTTTCTCCACAGAAAACTGGTCGTCTTAACCAAACTAGAAATAGATTTGTACCAAAAAAAACTTCTAGAAGAGATTGACTATTCAAATATTTATTTACAAAATCAAATTGTAATAACAAGTGGGAGATTTTATCTGTGTTTTATTTACCTCTGATCCTTTAAAACGGACCAAATATTGTTGTAAGATAATCAATGAAGTGTCTAAGAGATAATTAAAAATATTAAGGGTGGTCACTTTTTGATTTTGGGGACGCCCTCTAAATGGTTAGGAGGAATGATGCCCTGGTTCATATTATTAATAGTCGGTTTTATTGAAATCGTTTGGGCAGCGGGATTGAAATATACACAAGGAATTTACGTAAACTGAATTGACCAGTTTGGGGCAAATATGGCGTTAACCAAGCAGCAACAACTGATCCTACATTTTACAAACCGCCAACCAGGTCACCTGCTGCACCAGCCAAATAAGGGAAAGGCTCCATAATACCGGTAGCCTCCATCAACACCAGCGCTACGGTGTGCTTTCTTAGTTCAGCAATTGAATCGAATTCATCAGGAGCATTGACAGCAGAGAATTGCTCAACGTTACAGGTGACTCGTGAATCGACTCGATTATAAGATTCATCCCACTCTTCGCTTGTTCTAAGCATTACATTCAGGATGGAAAACAGCTTGTGCGTACGGCAACCAGCACTACTTTTTGACCTGGTACGCGGCGTAAAGTGTCCCTTCTGTTTTAACCAAACGATGCTTCCAAGATATACACACCTGTACCCCGATCAATTTTGATACTGGGTGATTCGAACATTAGAAAGTTCGCAAGGTAAAATAATCAAGGTCAAGGAGGTCACTAAATTTCATAAAATGAACTTTTCCGGGTTGAGGTGTCCACACGCCGCACGGATTGGGTCGTAACTAACGAACTCACTCAGGATTCGTCAAAGGCTGCTCAAGAAGCGCATGCCCTTCGATGGAAGATTGAGCAATTTCATTATTAATTAAATACTTAATCCATTATGTTTAGTGGTCCGATTGACCAAATTACTTCTTTCAATTAGTTATTCTTTTTATGTAAGGTGTCATGGTTGAAATGAAAAAGCTAGTGCCAAGAGTGAGATTCGAACCGACGACCTTCGGCTCAATACGCCGCTGCTCTAACGCTTCAGCTATCGTGACGTTTATCCACTCAGACACCAACTCCATCTCAACGTACAACCTTTAGGCCACTTCACAAAGTGCCGAGAATCGAATCCTGATTACACGACATTTGAAAAATAGCGAAAAGGAGAGAAAATTTGAAAAGTTGTAGGTTTAGATGGGGAGTTGGTGTCCGAGTGGGTTGAAGGCACGTTAGCTCAAGTAGCAAGAGCTACTGAGCTGAAAGTCGTGGGTTCGAATTCCGCTCGTGGCACTAGCTTTTTCATTTCAACCAAGAACTTACACAAAAAGATAAATGAATTGAAAGAAGTAATTTGGTCAATTAGACCACTAAACATAATAGATTTAATAAGAAAAACTAAGTATAATTTCACCGGCCGTGGCCTCTTTATAAGTCGCCGAGAAGCGAATCCTGATTACACGACATTTGACAAATGGCAAAAAGGAGGAAAAATTCGAAAGATTAATTAAATATTTTAGCATCATTTAAGTGCTATCAATGGCAAACAATGGGTATTTTCACCACTCTTGTTTTTAATTTTGTATACATTTTCTATTTCATTGTTACATGTTAACGAAAGGAATGAGATAATATTAATGTAAATTTAGAAACTTGAAATATAAATCATTGTTTTTGTTGGAAAATGTTTTGTTTTGAACGTTATCGCAAAGCTTAATTATAATTGACATAAAACGTGCTTTGATCAGGTTATTAGTACACAGCCCGTTAAAAAGGGATTTGTACAAATCTCTCTAGCTTTGTAGCCGTAATATATTAAGGCCAGTGTAGCCGGTAAAACACCCTCCTTATAAATAACCTGTTGCCTTTTATTCAAGGGTGTCATTACAAACGGGCAAAAGAGCCAAAGCGTGGATTAATACGACGGTCGGGCGAAGAAGGGCAATGTTAATGAGGGAAATTTCACTTCACCGGCGTTACAATGAAGCGTAGGAAGGGAGCCGGGAGGACCAGAGGAAGGGAAAGCAGTCCCAAGTTCCCCTTTCAGACTTTTACTTTCGATCGAGTTATGCCGTCAGCGTAATTGCGACCACGTTGTTTACTTCCTAGGTCATGATGACCATTAGAGTGCTTATCCCAGACGGCTCGACTCTCTTTTCTGTTTGCCTTCACTTGATGGCATGGATCATGCAACTTTCAACACGACCTCCTACAGTTAAACCTCGTGTAGACTTAAGAAACAAGACCTGATAGCCATTACGTTCTATATACCATAAAAAAGACACATTACTATAGTTTTCTTTTCAGCCTTGTTTTCGACCTGATTTTTATTCATCGCCCATGGCGATCATCTCCAGTAAATCAACAGACTCATTCAATGCCACATAGATGAAGAACAAAGTGGCTTTCACATCAAGAGAAGGGTGACAAAAGACAAGTGAAAAGAGATGGAGCACAAAGAGACCCTTTTCCATTAGGTAGACATGAGACCTAGTTGTTTATTCCTAATCCTTCTTCATGCGATATAAACGTTTTTATCTGATGAACTGTAACAAGAGTGGCACAAGATTAAGAAGGCAAGAGTAATACCGTGCTTGGTTCATTCTTCTACTACTACTAACATTCAAAATATATCTGAAATTTCCGGGTTTAAACAAGCGACAGACGAATCATGAAAGTGGGACTGTAGCGTTTGCGGTCATGTTAAGAATTTGGAGTATAGAAGTACATGGGTGAATTGGACTACCCCTGGAACGTTTGGCTGAACGGATGGCATGATCGGGAAGAGACTTATCACCTCACAGGAGGATCTTTTGTTAGAATTTCCTTCTTTTGACGGGAGTAAAGTCGGCGATGCCACGCAGACTAAAATAAACAAACTACCCCACGTTCTCTAATCATTTCTGGAATACGCTGCACCCTTACAAGCAAAAACAGATCAGTGCGCTAAAGGGCTTCTTAGACATCTCAATACTGATCAATGCTCACAGGAAACCTTTTCTTTTTCTACCAAGATTCCTTTCTCATGAATAGAAAGAAGTCTTCCTTAATAAGTGAACTCCGTATATCAGGCGACAAATGCCTTCCTCCCCTCGGGTTTCGGGAGGGTGTACCCTAGCTACTCGTAGGAGTGATATGAATGCTAAAAATAAAAGCGATCGAAAGCTATTGACTTAACCTTAAAAGAAGCAAAAGAGACGATATTAAAAAGCCTCCATCACCCCAAGCTGTACCTTTGGGTGAGTCAATAGGAACGATATAAACAGAAGCTGCAGATCGTAAATGCTTCTCAGAAGAAAGAGGGAAGAAAAGTAGACCGAATACGTCTCGTAAAGTAGAGCAAATAAACATGCAAATATTCTGGGTTCTACCGCTCTAGAAGGAAGCGATTCTGGCACCTAATGAGAGGCTTAACATAGCAGCCATACACAAATTCCTTGAGCAATTCAAGAAAAACACATCAGGAAAAAATAGACTAACGCCCCCAGAACAGGTGGAGCAAAATAAGATAAAAATCAAAGAGCATTTGGAAAAGGATCAAAGGGAAAGCCAGAAAGAAATACTGCCTAACGGGTATCCTAATACACTTCTCACCATTCAGCATTTAGATTCCATCAAGATTTTGATTCCTTGTACGATCATATGCACCGATGTAATGACTATTAATAACATCTTCCACTGTTTTCGATTCTTCATGAACGAACATCCACATGTAGTTTGATAGTTTTCTATCAGATCGGACTAGCCATGAAAACTTTCTACTTGCTGATGCCTAAACACGATTTACAAAGGAAACCAATAAGGAAATATGAAACTTCACGTTCATCACTTTGCCATCATCAGAATATTTAATAATTTGATTAGTGAACTGGGGTGTGTTGCTTGTGTAATGCCAGATAACAAAACCAGCGAGGAAAGACCAAAATGATCGGAAAAACTACAAGTTTTTTTCACCCCTCGAAGAACATCCACTTGCTAATAAATTTATTAGTGTGAGTGTGTATCATCTGAAAGGCAAAACCCAGTAATATTAGGCAGATCAAAATTAACGGAAACGCTCAGCTACAGGCTTGTCCGCATGATGAGTTTTTAACAAGTTACTCAGACTTGTCACCTTTGATACTTTTGCCAAATTTGGAGTTTTACATTTATTACATTTATGTTTAGGTGATCTCCAAATCAAATCCAATGCAAATTGTGCCATCACAGATAGAATCCGTCTGAGACCTAGCACAGTCAAGTTAATAGTAATATTATATCTATAAATTCTCTTGCAATTTTCCTTGGCTCAAGACGAGACACAGTTGCGCAGCACAAAAATGAAATAGCAATAAATTAAAAATAATAACCAAATAGTACTTGTAAGAAATCTTCTGTCCTTAAATGAGTCTACATCCGAGTATGAAAAATTAAGGCTGTTCCTTTCTAATTTTTTTTCTACTTGCACTGGCACTTAATTTAATATCAGGTAGGCAACAGCACATCAGATATTTCACCTTGAATTAACATTCAATGAGCATTAACTGTTTTACTGTACCTGCGGCTCGTTGCTGAGTTTCTCGTGGTGCTCATCAGCAGTCGAGAGGGATCGCTTGTGAACGTGCTGGTGTTCAAAGAGATAATATCCCTTAAGGTTGCCAATCTACAAAACAAACAAAGAAAAAAACTTTAATACAACAATAATTACTAAATTATCTTTAAAGCTTGGCGAACGTCATGGCTATTACACAACAATTACAAGAAAAATATTCAGGTCGTTAAGTCTGTAAAAGATAATTTTACTCGAAAAAAAAAATAAGCAGATGGTTATCAAGTTCAAAGGTTGCAAAATATAAAATATTATATTTCTCTTATTAATTCATTCTCTTATTAATTTACAAAAATTGCCGTTCTTTATATTAGGCTATCGATGCAAGGTAAAAATAAAATAGTTAAAGGAAAAAAATAATTATCAAAATAAAAAATAAATTAATTTTTTTTGTCTGTAATGCAATGTTTGAGATTACTGGCCGATACTTAACATTTAACATTATTGCTCTTTTAAATCACATTCTATCGAATTATAATATTGTTTTGTTCATAAGTTATTCAACTCTGATGATAATCTAACGAGAAACGTCTATTTTCTTCTTTGAAACAATAAAGTAAATATCTGACTGGTCATATTGATAATATGATATTTTTAAAAAAGGCGAGAAAATATGGTCTGCGTTTTAAAGATCATCCTTGGTGTGGGTTATAAGCAGGGTGAGGCACAAATCCACCGCTAAAACAGCCAGATTGCTCTGGCTGGTTAATACAGTTCTATTGGTTATGGGTTTCCTGCTTACGCACTTAAACAGTCCTGGATGATCAGTTATGACCGAAATACAAGTAAAAGACATTAACGTAAATAAAAGCACACAGACAAACCATTGATGATGACAAAAGTCGATACGGGGCTGACAGGTAGACAAAACAGCAAGGATAGACAAACCAGAAAAACCGGTTCATAATTGGCGATATTAATTATTTCAATTGATTTTTTTTTTATCTAAGGTTTTTGGTTGAAATGAAAAATTAGTGTCATGAGCGGGATTCGAAGTCACGATAGCTCGAGTGGTTAAAGCAGCGGCGTATTGAGCCAAGGTCGCGAGTTCGAATCCCGCTCGTGGCACTAACTTTCCATCTCAACCAAATGTCTTCGATAATAATAATAATTAATTGGTTAAACTTTTCATTCACGTATTGTCAGTCGTAAATGTAAACAAGCAGACAGAGAAACCACTGTTGATGCCGAAAAATGGATATGGCCTAACAGCCATAACAACTTAAAAGGCTAAAACGTTCCGAAATGACCAAGCTATAAAAGCATTGACTTATGGTAGTATATTCCGAGTCATAGACGTAAAAAAAAGGCGAAAAGGAAACCACTCATGATTACAAAAGACCTGATAACCAAAAAAAGTGAGGATAAGTAGACCAATATTTTCGGAAATGACCAAGCTACAAAAGCCAATATTGCAATGTCTTCTGCTAATATAAACTCAGTCATAAAAGTAAACAGGTTCACAGAAAACCACTGATGATTACACAAGGCTTGGCAACCAAAAAAATGTGAGGATAGATTGACCAAACTTTTCAAAAATGACAAAGCTACAAATTTCAATATTGCAATGTCTTCTGTTAGTATAAACCCAGTCATAATGTAACATTCAAATCTATCTCTCCTTTTCACCTCAAGACTATCAAATCTCGATCGCACGAATCCAAGAGGACTTAACTGCCATCAGATCCTGGGGAAAATGGCTTCTCTCGATATCAATCAAGTCTCGGGCTATAGATATCCCCTTTTCTTATCCTTAATCTCAGCTCTGCATTAACAATCAACCGGTCACCTTTAATCCAAAAAACCTAGTAGGGCCTAGAAACCATACATTCCCCAAATCATCCGCCATTTCCGTCATGTTTCTTCTTCCCGATCAGCTCCCACAAACTTCTTATCTCCTTCCTTGCGCTTCTAAATAGATTATGGCTGTTTGGTGGACTCACCTGCAAGCTTGTTAACAGACTCAAGAGAACTACATTCTTCGTTTCATGTTTATCTCAAATTTCTGATATGTTTGGTAGTTAGAATGGCTGTACTCCTCCTATCGCGAGCTTTCTTGACTCCTTTCTCTATCAAACCATTTCTTTCCATTTCTTTTCCTATATTTATAACCTGTTAACATTTAAATCCCCTATACACTCTCGCCACACTCGTTCCGCCCCACTAAACTCTACCTCTCTCATACAAATCTACCAATTCCATATATGTTCCTATATCCTCTGGAATTCCCTAACAAACTATATTCGCTGTGCCGCCATTTTTTTCACCTTATGATTCAACTAGTTCAACTTGTACTCATCGGTTCGAAAATAGTACTCAATATGTAAAAATACTTTTTAAAACTAATGAAACATCTAAAATACTAAAAAACCTCGAAAAAGTATGTGTTTTTACAGGTTTTTAGATTTTCACCGACCAGTTGAGTCGTGAGTTTCGAGTTGGGAATGGATGTATTCGACTAGTTCAACTTGACCGCACGTACCTATCGGTTCGAAAATTTAACCTAATCTTTATATAAGGTATTGGGTGAAATGAAAAAGAGCGTCACGAGCGGGATTCGAACCCACGACCTTCGGCTAAATACGCCGCTGTTCTACCACTTGAGCTATCGTGACTAGCTTTTTTCAAAACTTTTTCATTTCAACCAAACCTTCCATAAAGATTAATTATTTTAAATTTGGTCAATCGGACCAAGAAATATAACGGTAAGAATAATTTTTGAAACCTTCACGTTTCGTATTTTCGACTCCAGTTCCTAAAATTAGGGTTAATTTTCTGATAATTATTCCCTTTCATTTTTAATTTAATACGTTTCATTAATTTTTAGGTTATTACATTTAAATCTTTATTTATATCAAGTAATCTAAGTTTATCTAAGGACTTGGTTGTGATGAAAAAGTGAGTCTCTTCCTGCTCGCTTTTCCCCCCTCGTGACACTAACTTTTTCTTTACAACCAAAACTTTAGATAAAAATAATTATGGTAATATCACAATAATTAATTGAAATACTTAATATAGTCAATTTTAACCGATCAACATAAGCTTCCAATCTCCATACCTTATATTCACGGACGGATCAAAAACGGAGGTTGGAGTGGGATGCGCCTGGTACGATCCACAGAAAAACAAATTCGAAAAATATAAACTTCCTCCAGAGTTCAGTATATATTCTTCTGAACTTTTTGGCATCTTTAAGGCAGTAGAGTATGTACACGAAGAAGATGTAAAAAGCGATTAATTTTGTCAGACTCAAAAAGTTCCTTGGAGAGTCTGAAGAATTTTAACCTTAATTCAGATAACAACTATCTTGTATCATAGATAATTAAAAAGGTCCTCGACGTTAAATCGTCAAAAGGAGTGAATATACGATTCCTATGGGTGCGTAGTCACTCCGACATCAGGGGTAACACTAAAGTAGACGGTTTGGCAAGAGAGTCCGTACAAGATGGTATAGTATCTCCTATCACCCTCCCTTTGCAAGATGCAAAAAGTGCAATTAAGACCCAAAATTGGATAAAGTGGCAGAAGTATAGTGAAAGTATACAACCCGGAAAATTCTACTCTTCTATAAAACCTCAGTTGTCCAAAAAGCCTTGGTTTCAAAATGTTCCATTTTCTAAGAGGGATATCACAATTATAAATAGGCTTAGGTCTAATCATGGAATTTGTGGAATTTACCTTCATAAAATAAATCAAAAGCAGAACGATCAAAGTAAATTCTGCAAAATCCCTGAGGACTTAGAACATAAGATCATGATCTGTCCAGGGTACTTAACTGAGAGGAATTCTTTTTTGGATAGGTTATACGGTATGAAGGAAGTGGCCAAACCCATAAACTATAAGTCTCTTTTAGCCTTGAACAACAGTGTAATATATGGACATCTCCTAGATTTTGTTTATAGGTGTAACATGAAAATTTGAAATGAGTCCCTTGCCTTAACTAGGGAGGGCTGTGTCCGTGCGGTGGGTGGGTGGGGTTGGTAGGGCTCCCTGAGCAAGTTTGGCTCCGGGAGATTGGGAGATGTGGACTTTTCCACACATCACATATCATCTGCACATTCTTTCCAAATAAAGACAAACACAGTGTTTAATCTGATTTAGTAACACTAAGTGAGGATGACAAAAGAAAAAATAAAGGATTTTCTGAGGAAAAATTTGTATCTATTATCATCAATTAACAATCTGATATACCAAAGAACATTGTACCTGCCCACTATTGATGTACCTGAAAATACAAATAAGAATTTTAGGCCACTAACAAATGTTAACTAATATTTAACAAACTAAACATACTATTAGAGAAAAAATGCGAAAATTTAAAAATGGTGCGTAGATTTGGCAATGAGATTAGGGGGAAATTCTTAACCAAGTTAAAATGTAAAGAACCTCTTTCAAAAAAATTCCTATGTAAATGCGATGATCGTCCTACCACTTACAACGGCCAGACTAAGCAGTGCATGGTGTACTAAGACAACAAAATTATGATTGTAAAGATAAAAATAGACCAGGTACAAGGTCAAAACCTTGCCATGAAAAAACTGATATATTCAATTTTGATGAGGTAAAAATAACGGCACATGAACCTCTCCCTAGGGGCGTCGGTGGCCGCAACGGTTTAGGCGTTGACACGGCGCTCATCACTGTAAGGTAAAGGTCCAGGGTTCGAATCCAGCGACACTGCATTCGAACCCGATATACTTACAAATGGGATTTTTTTTCAAAAACACCGGCACCCTGAGGGTTGATATAACCTCTGCTGTTGCGAACCATCGTCAAAAAAAACCTCTCCTTGGCCGGAGACTCACGAAGGAGATGATGTACATTATATGGATAAAAATTCATGTAACTTACAATCAGACATCAATGGTTTAATGGGGTTTTAAACGATCAAATAAATAAAAAAATAAAATAATTTATGTAAAATGTAATGATGTTTATTTGTTTAATTAATATAATTGTTTTAATAGATTAGAGAAATCACAGGCTATATTATTTATTTATTTATTAATTAACGTTTTCAGTTGAGATAAAAAAGTGAGTGTCACGAGCGGGAT